TTGTAGGCTAGCTTCATATGTGAGAAATTTTAAATAAAACACCCAACTTGTGAAATGTAACTGTACATTAAAAATTATCATATCTTGAATATTTAGTGTGTATCCCAGGAGTGTAAGAAATGGTCAGCCTTAAGCAACTTGTTAATAAAATAAAGAGATTCATAGTGAAAAAGCTATTGTGAACATAAGTGCTGAAAAATTTTAACATTGAACAATGCTTCCATTAAGAATCTCCTAGCAAATGAATAGAAGCAAACTTAATGAAGTTGATAGGTGTGTTTTCCAGAAACAAGTGTATACATTTATATACATCTAACACTTTTTTAAATTTTTTATTTTTTAAGTAGGTTCCACACCCAGTATGAAGCCCAATGTGGAGCTTGAACTCATGACCCTGAGATCAAGACCTGAGTTGGGATCAAGAGTCAGAAGCTTAACTGACTGAGCCACCCAGGCACCTGTATTTTTAATTTTTTTAAATATATTTCTATACATCTACAGCTTTATATTTTCCTTTAAATGTTGCTGTAATTCTTTTTTTAAAAGATTTTATTTTTATGTAATCTCTGCACCCAATATGGAGCTCGAATTCACAACCCCAAGATCAAGACTCGCACACTTCACTGACTGAGCCAACTGGGTGCCCCAAATATTGCTATAATTCTATTTTTTAAAAAATATTTGAGCCAGCATGAGCAGGGTTTGTGGGGGGGAGTGGCAGAGGCAGAGAGAGAGGGAGAAACAGGCTCCCTCTGAGCAGGGAGCTCAACACGGGGCTCCATCCCAGGTCCCTGAGATCATGACCGGAGCTGAAGGCAGATGTTTAACTGACTGAGCCCCCCAGATGTCCCTATAATTTTATCTTAACAATTTGATTTATCAGTTTTTCATTTTCATTCAGTTAAATTTTTTTTTTCTGATTTCCAGTGTGATTTCTTTTTTGATTTGTTGGTTGTATAAAAGTGTATAGCTTCTAAACGGATGGAGATTTTCTAATCTTTTGGATACTGATTTCTAAGTTTGGACTACTGTGAAGAGAATATAATGTGCATAATTTCATTTTTTAAAAATTTTATTTATTTATTTAACATACAGAGATCACAAGTAGGCAGAGAGGCAGGCAGAAAGAGAGGAAGGGAAGCAGGCTCCCTGCTGAGCAGAAAGCCTGACGCAGGGCTTGATCCCAGGACCCTGGGATCACGACCCAAGCCTAAGGCAAAGGCTTTAACCCACTGAGCCACCCAGGTGCCTCCCATAATTTCATTTTTTAATATTGTTGAGACTTGATTTATGGACCAGTAGGTGGTTAATTTTGGGAAATGGTACACTTGTGCTTGGAAAAAAAGTGCATTTTGTAGTGGTTAAGTGCAGTGTTTTATTTAGTTGATTGGGTAAATTTTGTTAGTTATGTTGTTCATATATTTTGCCTCTGGTCTGATTTCTTTTGTCTGCTTATAGCTAAAGTTACTGATAAATGTATTTTAAAATCTCCCATTGAGATTATGAATTTACACATTTCACATTTTATGGAATTCTGATTTGATATCACGTTTACACATTTACATTAAGTGCATATAAGTTTAGAGTTATTACATCCAGTCAAGTTTTTCACTTTACCTGTAGTCGTAATTTTTTCTTTAAAGACTCTACTTATACTAATAAATGAACTATACCAGTTTTCTTTTGGCTAATGATTGCAGGGTATATAGAGTTTTCCTTTCAAAGTTTCTTTGGTTTTGGATTTTATTTATTCATTTATTTTTATTTATTTATTTATTTAATAGTTTTAGATTTAAATCTTTCTCCTGTAATAAGAAATTTTTTCATTTTTTTTTTCTAAATGATAATTTCTTTCTTTTGTTTGGAGCATTTAGTTTATTTACATATAATCTCCATTATCAATATTAACAGTGATTTGATGAGTTTGTATCTGTCGTGTTATTACTATTTGTTTTCCATCTTTTTTTTCTACATTTTCCTCTTTTCATACTATGCTTTATTTTTATTCCAGTTGTCCTTTATAATTAGTATCCTTTTTTTCAATAATTTCCTTATAGCCTGTATACTTTATTAGAGTTTAATATAAATTTATACTTCTACATTTTCCCAGAAAATATAAGGACTTGAGACAATTCTGTTCTACTCTTCTGTTTCTTTCCATTTGGTTTATATATTTTAATCACGTCTGTTATTATTATTTGTTATTATTATGGCCTTCTACAGATCGTATTTTTAGATTTATCCTTTTAATGATCCTGTGTCTGATAATGCTATAGTCTAGATCCCCTTTGGGTGATTTTCTGTTTTCTGTTGTTCCTCTCATTTTATTATCTTATTGACCTCTAATTTCACAGCTTTGATTATTTACACTGTGTGCTGGATATGGTCCTTAAAAATTGTAGAGACCATGGGTTCCTGTATCTTTCATGAAAGAAGTTTGAGTTTGTGTTTGGCTGGAGGGAAGGAGGACAATCAATGCTTCTTTTAAATAAGGATCGCCTTATTTCAAGTAGGGATTGAAAATTATTTGGGAGCTTTGGTCCCTTGGCTCTCTAGTCTATTTCCGTTCACGCTCAAACCTAGAATGAAGATCTTTTGGTCCCCAACTCAAAGGATGGGGTTTTATTAGCCACCTGACCTTCCTTGGTGGGCCCTGGACTGTGTAGACTTCATTCTCTCTGCTGAGCTTCTCAGCCTCTCAGGTTCCTTTTCTCAAGTAGACAGAAACTTCCCAGAGTAAAAATGGTTGCCAAGTGCCTAGTATTTCTTTATTCTTCTAGATCTTGGCCCTGCAATTTCTATCTGCCTGTTCAGCTCGGCAGTATCGTTTAGCAGATTTAAAATCTACATCGTCGGGGCGCCTGGATGGCTCAGTGGGTTAAGGCCTCTGCTTTCAGCTCAGGTCATGATCCCGGGGTCCTGGGATCGAGCCCCGCATCGGGCTCTCTGCTCCGCAGGGAGCCTGCTTCCTCCCCTCTCTCTCTCTGCCTGCCTCTCTGCCTACTTGTGATCTCTCTCTATCTCTGTCAATAAATAAAATCTTAAAAACAAAACAAAACAAAAAAAAAACGTTAAAATCTACATTGTCCACATGGTTCTCAACATGAGCATCACTTTGCCTTACCTAGTTGAGTTTTAGAGGAAGTGATCACTTTATTTCTTTAAAATCTCTCCATTCTCTTATTTTTAAAAAATTAAAATCTGTAACTTTCCAATAATAAGAAAAAATTTGAGAAAGCTCCTAGCTTGGTCTTCTTTCCCGTCCCATAGTGCTAATAATTGTTTTTTAATTTGGGGTTTTTAATGCCTGTATTTCCTACTTTTTCTTTCCCTTGGTCTTAGCTACTTTGAAAAGATCACAACAAACATCGACTAGATGTTTAGTCACTTCTGCTTCTTACATCTCATACAGCATTTGTATTTATGTTTCCTCTTTCTTAAGGACTTAATTCAAGACTGTCTTACAAGTATTTATGTGGTAAAATTTTGAAGGTGTCTATGGCTGGGAATATTTTTTTAATCATTACCCTATATTTGAATCATAGTCTGGCCAGATACAAAATTCTTGGTTCAAATTCCTTATTCTCAGTATTTCAAAATATACCCCATTGTCTTCTTGCATCCACTGTTCTGATTTCTTTGTATATACTATGCTTTGTCATTTTGAAATTATTAAGGTAATTCTAAGTTTTGTCATTAATAGTCTTAAATTTCCTCTCTTTTACATGGGAGTTTTTTTTTTTTTTTTTAATATCCATGCTCTGGCATTTTATGGAACCATTAAATCTGTTTTTCATCTTTTTTTTTAATCATGAGGGATTTATTATTTTTTCAAATATTTCCTTCTCTCCACTTTTATATTCTTTCTTTCTGAATGTCCTATCTTCTGGATGATAGCACTTTTGTTAATCTTTTTTCTCTTAGTATTGTTTACACATTATCTGTTTCTTTTTCCTTCACTTTTTTTTCTTGTAGGAGAATCTACAATTTTGTCTTTAAATTGCTCATTATAGGGACACCTGGGTGGCACAGTGGGTTAAACCTCTGTCTTCCGCTCAGGTCATGATCTCAGGGTCCTGGGATCAAGCCCTGCATCAGGCTCTCTGCTCAGCAGGGAGCCTGCCCTCCCACCCCGCCCCCTGCCTGCCTCTCTGCCTACTTGTGATCTCTCTCTCTCTGTCAAATGAGTAAGTAAATTAATTAATTAATTAAAAAGAAAAATAAATTGCTCATTTTAAATTCTGGTGCACCTGTTCTAGTTTTAGACTTTGTCAAGAAAAGTCAAAAAACAAAACTGTCTAATCCAGTTTATGGTTTTTATTTCAAAACAGTTGTTCCCTCAAATGTCTTAGTTTTTAAGAACTTTAACCCCCTTTCCTCCTGGGCTCATTGTCCACTCTGCAGGCAGTGTATGCGTAGGAAGCTGGGGACTTCTTTTCAACTAGATGAGCAGAGTCAGGGAGGTGTTGAATGTGCCCCAGGAGAGAATCTGGCTTTCAATCAGCCCTTACCCCACAGAACCACTCAGGTTAGGGCTCGCTCCATCCTTAGCTATATGAGGCAGAAGCACCATTAGAGAAGCAGACTTGTTAAGGGGCACCTCTCAGCCCTGGGGATCTGAAGAAGACACAGTGGGGAAGGAACTGCCCTAGTCCGGTCTTTCCCTTTATTCTCTGAACTCCTCCATAACATAGGACTCATTCTTCCTGGTTTTTCTCCTCCTCACGTTTGCAATAGTACTAGAGGTCCGAATTGTTACTGTAGATACAAGTTCTCCTTATCCCAAGGCAATGGTGGAAGAAAAGCAAGAACGAATGCTAACAAGTCTGCTTTATCTTCCCATAGCTGTGTTGGGTTGCCTTTACTCCAGACCCAGACCCAGCCACCACTTCAGATAAACCAATTAATACAGCTACCCCCCCCTCCCCCCCACCTCTGCTCTCCACAAGGCTTTTCAAAATTTCCTCCCTAAATTGAATTCCCTCTATATTTCTCTGCAGGTTGCCTCAAGAACAAGAGCCAAGAACCTTGCCAGTTCGACTTCTTGGTAGGATGCTTTTGTCTCATGTTATCTCATTTCTAGTCAGTATTCCTTTTTCTTCAACTTTTCCTTTTTCACTCCTTTCACCCTTTTCTTTCTCCTTAGTTTCTTCGAACATATTCACCATGCCTTTTGTGTTCCCTCATGAAAGCTCTCTGTGTCAGTTTCCTGTACGTGATCCTCTCTTAATCAATTCTGTCCATGCCGAGTCCCTCCTGTTCCTCTGCATAGTTCTATTTCTCATGCCTTATTCTTCCCTTTCCTTTCCTTCTGTTCCAAGGTTCGCCAGCTCCCACTGCATTCTTCACTCTTTTTTTCTTGACTCTCATTCAGTGGTTATTGACCCCAAATTTCTAAGACACCTTTCTCTTATAAGATTAATCAATGTCCCCCCCCCCCCCAAAATTAACTTGGCTGAGTCCCTTAGAGGTAAAATCTAAATTTAGTTTGACATCTCTGGTGCTTTAATATGTATTAAAATGTTTAATGTTTACTAGATGACTAACACAGATTCATTGAAAACACACCAAAAAGTGAATTAATGCCAAGAAAGACTGTCTAGTAGGGAAGAAATAAGAGATGGCTTTTTGAATAAACATCACATAAGTAATCATTTTCATTAAGTTTTATCTGGTTTCTAAGCCTCTCCTCCACCCCCCCTGACACCCCGGTCTATAATACCCACTACTGATTCATTCATTCAAGTATCCATAAATGGAGGAAGTGATTTGCACTTTCAGACTTTCTGGATATCTCAAACTCATGTTCATCCTCTTCTATGTGATTTTTTTTGTCGTGGCTGTGGCTGTGGATTCTAAGAGAGACACACAAAAATGTGTTTCATGATAGACACAATAAAGTAGAAGACCTTTGGATTGGTTAAGAAACCCCTCTCGTCAGAGATATCACAACACATCCGTCCCCAGGGAGGACTGGTTCTTTTGCCTCCTAACTCTGATATGCATTGACTGTCAGATTTTTTTTGTGTGTGTGCCTATGCTAGTTAATATATGATGTTCAGCACACTGCCAGCTTGTTCCGTACTCTGTGGAACAGTTGATCTTGAAAGATGTCATTTTTTCCCTCATTTTCTGACTCGTTTTGTTACATCAGTGTTGATTTATTTTGTACTTTTACAATCCGAGTTTTTTAAAGAACTGATCACATCTCAGAAACTTTAGATTAATGAATTAGATGCTATAAGCAGAGGGAAAAAATAATGTCTGAATCTCTGTCTCTTCTTTTCTTTGCCTCCCTCATCTTTACTTTTCTTCTCCTTTCCTTTCTCCCAAAGCATAAATAGCTGTATCCCTATTTCTCCACCTTAAATACAAATATATTTAAAGAGATGCACAATTAAAAGAGCTAATTAGACTCTCTTAGTACCACTGTGGCTTGTGCTCTATTTCTAAGGCCAGACTCTCGTGCTCACCTGAACCTACTTAGGACGGATTAGGACCAGAGAGACGGGGTCATGAGCCCTCTGACCTCCTCCCATTTACTTGTGGTTTTAGGCCTGTTGTAATTTGAATGTGCATTCAGTTGCGTCCTCTGTGTAACTTCGTCTTCCCATCAAGGGAGAAACATTAATTAAACTTAAGAAACACTTTGGTGGGACGCCTGAGTGGCTCTGGCTCAATGGGTTAAGCATCTGACTTCATTTCAGCTCAGGTTGTGATCTCAGGGTCCTGGGATCGAGCCCAAGTCTGTCCACGCTCTGCGGAGAGTCTCCCTGGCCCTCTGGCCACTCATGCTCACTCTCTTTCCCAAATAAATAAATAAAATCTTGGAACAAACAAACAAAAAACATTTTGGTGGGTTAGTGACTGACCAAATATCTGTGTTTAAAGAACTAGCCAGAAGTGAGGTATAAAATCAGTATTTGGTGCATGGATTATGAATTGGACAAACCTGCACTTTCTTTTCTTTTCTTTTTTTTTCAGTGTTTGCTTCCATTTTTATGAAATCACCAGAATTTACCAGAAATTACCAGAAATCTATAGAGACAGAAACCAGGGTTAGAGGTTTTCAAGGGCTGGGGGAGGAAGGTGGGGAGTAACTGCTAATGGGGACACACTTTTTTTGGAGTGACAAAAATGTTCTAAAATTGATCATGGGGATGGCTGCACACTCTGTGCATAGTCTCACTACCAAATTATATGCTTTAAAAAGATGAATTTTCTGGTATATGAATTGTAGCTCAGTAAAGTTATTTTAAAAATCTATTATCATATTAATCTTTTTTAAAATTAGCATATAATGTATTATTTGTTTCAAGGATACAGGTCTGTGATAGTGGGAGGGATGTGGAGGCTGGGTGATGGACACTGGGGAGGGCATGTGCTACTGAAAGCACTGTGAAATGTGTAAAACCTGCATTTCTGATTCTGGTTCCAGTGCTGGGTTGTTGGTTGGGCTTGGGTGAATTGGGATGAGTCTGAATTTCAAGTTTTTGGGTCTTTTCGAAATGCTTACTGTAGGGATAAGAGTACCTCAGAAATACTGTGAGGATTAGAGGTGCCTGGGTGGCTCAGTGGGTTAAGCCTCTGCCTTCGGCTCAGGTCATGATCCCAGGGTCCTAGGATCGAGCCCCACATTGGGCTCCCTGCTCCGCAGGGAGTCTTTTTCTCCCTCTTTCCCTTGCTTGTGTGCTCTCTCTCACTGTCTCTCTCTCTGTCAAACAAATAAAATTTTTTTTTAAAAAAAGAAATACTGTGAAGATTATATACATACATATATGTATTTATAAGCCATATAAAGTATTTAGCCCAGTAAATTCTCAGTACATGGCAGCTTTGATTATTCTTGTTGTTTTGATGCTTTATTGTTATCATAGAGTTGGCTTTTAATGCCCACAGAATACTAAATAAGCATAAGAACTAACTTAAATTCAGACTCAAATTTATCAAAGGAAAAAAAAATGGAGAACTGAGTTTCAGATAATGTTTCCTTCCTGCTATATAGCAATATTAATCATTTTTAGTTCCGAGTGGTCAGTGATCTTCCTGGAAAAGCAGAGTGGATAAGACCCAGCCTACCTACAGAACCAGATGAAAGGAGAAACATTATGAGCCATAAATGATTTACCTTTACATTTTGTGTTTCATGTAATTTTGAAACAATTTTATTTAAAAATATCCATGGAGAAGCAGAACCATGAAAGAGAGATTATAAGGAGATAAATTTATTTTTTTTTTTTACTAATTTTTGTTTGCCTCCAATTCCCCTCCCTTTTACTCACAGCTCCAAATTACAGAAAGTTCTACATTCTCAGGTGCAATTTTCACAGTCCCACTGATGGTGATTAATGAGACTCCGGCTAGGTTATGTATTTCATCATTTTACTATTTAAGGTTGAGAGATCAGTAAGCAACTTCTCTTCATTGAAAGATAGCTCAATTAAAAAATAGCCACTGATACCTTATTTGTGAGGCTATTTTCCAAAACTCCTCAAACTCACTGATTTCGGAAAAAGGCAGGTCATCTTCTTGTTTGTCATTTGTCTTTGTGTAGTTTACTAGATAAGTAAACAAGAGAAAATTCTCCCGCTCAGAGGGGAAAAAGACCCAACATTTTCTGAAATGTTTTCCTTTCCATCTTTTTTTTTTTTCCAAAATACATTCTAGGGCTTCAGGTTAGACTATTTTTTTTTCTTTGCTATTAAATGCAGACTAGACTGGTAGTCAAATGATCCTATTTTGTCATTTCAAAATTGGGACTAAACTGTAGGCGTTGTTTTGTAGTCTGTTTATTCAGCCAACAATATATCATGGACATCTTTGACAGTCTTTACATATTCTTCCAAGACCTCATTATTAATGGTCTTGATAGTAGGCTATTGCCTGTGCTATCATTCATGTAACCAATATACTTTGCACCTTCTTGATGCAATAATATTGGCGATACTGTAAATGGAGTCATTTGGAATAATTTATTCATATCTGCATTTCCTCTGCATTTCTCAACCTGATTTATTTGCAGCTCTGAGAAATGGAACGTATTCTATTTTGCTCTGAATACACTGAGCATAAACTTATAGTCCAGCCTGACGTTGTGTGTGTGTGTGTGTGTGTGTGTGTGTGTGTGTGTGTGTGTGTTCCGATATGTACACGTGTGGTATGGGGGTAGAGGTTGGGAGTAACTTTGACCGTAATCAGAGCAGATAAAGACAAGAGCAAGAATATATGACTGCTAATCCTTTGCAAGTCTAATTGCCTCACAGTTTCAGGTTGGGAAATATCAAAACTGTGTGGACATGGCTTTTTGTCATGAAGACATTTTAGAAAGCAAAGAAAAAAAAATACAGGAACTCTGAGTTAGAGAGTAAGTTCTTATAAAGTTTTTATTATATGGAAAAGGAAATTATATTCAGCCCCCAAATCATTTTGCTCTACTAAAAAAGTGGGAACTGTGCCCGCTCTCTTCTATTTTAAATGCATAGATCTAGCACTTGCTTACCTTCTGGAGGCTGTTAACCAGAAGCATAATCTCTATATAAACACAATGAATGCTATAGATTCCACAGTTCTTTTCTTTGGCATTTTCATCACATTTTCTCTTTGGCATTGAAACATTATCACAAATGAAAAGAAAAAAAAATGTGCAGGTTTTTCCTTTTTCTTCTTTTTAGCTCGGCTTCCAGAAACTCAGGGAGAAAAAAGTTAGTTTGTTCTCAGGTACAATGGCATCTGAGAGTTCACAACTTTTCGCTCTAATCACCCTTTTCTTTCTCTGAGTGTTCATGGCTAACATTCCCAGCGAAGAGCCTCCGCTCGCTCGTCATTCTCTAAGCCCCGAGCAACAATCAGTGTGTACTCATGTGGCAAAGCCCTGGCCTTTCCTATCAATTCTCTTGACAAGAATGTTGTCAAGTCTCGTTTGTTCTTTTCTGAGCTGATGAACTTATTTCAGGAGGCTGGTAGTTATATTTCACATCTGTCTCTGATGAGACCTTGAGGCTCTGTATCTTCTTAGGTTTTTGAAGAGACTTAGCAGAGATTATGTGAGATAGGCTTTGATGACTGCAGGCACAGGGTACCTATTCCCCATTGTCCAAAGAGTGCAGAAAGCCCCTTTTGTGTGTGGTGAAGGGGGCCTTAGAATGCATGACAATCTCTCTTCCCTAACTTCTCTTACTGCCTTTTATTTTTTTAAGTGTGTCAGTGGATAGATAGCTCTGTTCCCACTGGATAGATGGCTACCATTTTGCTAGATTAATAATATGTCACAGGCTCTCCGGCATGTCGTGGACCAAACATCTCGAAGAGTTCTAGAAAGCTGATGAAATTGCAGACTCCAATGGTGACGATTCAACTAGTTCAGACAATAAGTCTTTATGTAGTGATGCCCATATGTTAGAAAACATTTTAGCTAAGTAACATAATAAATTCAGTGATCCCACCTTTCCACAACTTGGTAAAATGAGAAAGGCAAAGGCAAAATACCAGATGATCTCAGTGTAATGTGGTGAGCTCTATGATGAAGGAATAAAATGGTGGAGGGGTACTCAATTCTCCACCAATCTGGAGATTAAAGAAAGATATCCCAAAGGATGGGATTATTCTTACTTCCATTTTTTTTTAAATTTTCAATTTGGGTGTCAGAATCTATTTTCTCATTTTGGTGTGGCTGTATTAAATTTAAAATTTCACAAATGCAGACCCTGGGTGGCTCCAGTCAGTTAAGCGTTTGTCTTCGGCTCAGGTCGTGATTCCAGGGTCCTGGGATCAAGTCTCACATCAGGCTCCTTGCTCCCCCTCTTATGCTCTCTCCCTCTGACAAATAAATAAATAAAATATTTTTTAAAATAAAATAAAATATCATATATGAATATAGCGTATGTGACCCCAAGACACCTGTAATTGGACAACAGAAGTAGCTCCTTCACAGGAAGTTTGTGTTGTTACATTATATATTTTTGTTTCAGGAATCTCCACTTCTCTATCTTATTAGCTCAGTGACCTTGGCAACTTATGAGCCTCTCTCATACTCATTTTCCATGTGCCCATACTTGTGCCGGAGTCCATACTCATCTGTCAACTGGGAACAATATCACCTCTGTCCAGAGTTTATGGAGTATGGGTGAGTCTCCTAGCAGAGTGTTTCATACTTTGGGAAATTCGTGACACACCTTTATCTTCTGCTTGTGAAGAGAAAAAAAAAAAAATCATCCTTTGGATTTTAGGCGAGTGATATGTATACAGCTCGTGTTATGTTCTCAAGTCATGTGTATTGCTCCATCTCTGGTTGTTTTCATCATTATTTCTACGACACACCCATCTTTTACAGAAAAGATTTCAGGCTCCATTCTATGTTCTCATCTCATATTTAAGAAGTGTGATGTTGACTCTAGAGCAGAAGTTAACGATTATGTAGGAAACACATCAGGCAATCAGCAGCCACAGTCTAACCAGGGATGATACTACATACTTGGGTCAGATTCGCTGTGTGCAGTATTTACCAATATGTTTTTGGGTAAAGGAACTAAGACATCAATCACAAATTTTGCAGAAATTATCCATTTATGAGGAGTTGTGAATGGCAGATGAGAATAAAGTTCTAGAAGAGTAACGATGTTGCGTAGGTATGGTGGTCTCTGTCAGATACAAATAGCCAGAATCCTGTTTTTGCTGCACATGCTGTCTCTTTGGAGAAATATGAATGTTTTTGCTTAAAAATATGTGTCTTTGAGAATTATATTTAAGATTAAAGTAACACATGAAAATCGTGGGCTTATTTGCTGCTTCTTGACTTGGTCTTCATCTTTATGGTGTCTAACGAGGACTCTGTCACTAAGTGGCAAAGTGACCTGTGTCTGGTCCCCAACCGCTCTGCCACTCAGATTTTCCCATCTGGGGCTCTACCACTTAGGATTTTATGTGTGGATTCCTGACTTTGTGTGTGGGGAAATGCATCTGTAATACCATTGATTACATGCTAATTAATCCTATCTTGACTCCGGTGTGTCTATATACACACATTACACACTTACCAGGGCATCCCTGATTTAAATGAAAACAAACAAAAACATAGTGCCAGTCTTTCTCTTTATTCCAATTTAATGCCATTCCCTGCCCTTGATTTTTGATCTTGCCACTTGCAATTCTGAAGCAATAGTGGCTAAAGATCACAGTTCCCTTTTAAATGCCTTTTTAATGTGTTGATAAGATGATCATTGACTTGCACTGTCCTCTCTGGGCACTTTAATGATTCATTACTGAGATAATTATTTGGTGTTTATTCTAGCCTACCTGTATTGTCTCATTTTCTCCTCACCTTGAATAGGGGTTGGGAGATGAAAACAGGATTGCATGTGATTATTTTCAGCATTTATTTCAACAGCCATGAATGTAGTTAAAATGTTGCCTGGCTAATAAATAAACTTTAAAAAATCAGTGCAGCCACTTTGGAGAACAGTGTGGAGATTCCTCAAGAAATTAAAAATAGAGCTTCCCTATGACCCTGCAATTGCACTACTTGGTATTTACACCAAAGATACAGATGTAGTGAAAAGAAGGGCCATCTATACCCCAATGTTTATAGCAGCAACGGCCACAGTTGCCAAACTGTGGAAAGAACCAAGATGCCCTTCATTGGACGAATGGATAAGGAAGATGTGGTCCATATACACTATGGAGTATTATGCCTCCATCAGAAAAGATGAATACCCAACTTTTGTAGTAACATGGACAGGACTGGAAGAGATTATGCTGAGTGAAATAAGTCAAGCAGAGAGAGTCAATTATCATATGGTTTCACTTATCTGTGGAGCATAACAAATAACATGGAAGACATGGGGAGATGGAGAGGAGAAGGGAGTTGAGGAAATTGGAAGGGGAGGTGAACCATGAGAGACTATGGACTCTGAGAAACAACCTGAGGGTCTTGAAGGGGTGGGGGGTGGGAGGTTGGGGGAACCAGGTGGTGGGTTTTAGGGAGGGCACGGATTACATGGAGCACTGGGTGTGGTGCAAAAACAATGAATACTGTTACGCTGAAAAGAAATTTAAAAAAAATCTAATAAATGTTCCTTCTCTTTAAAGGAAAAAAATAAAAGGAAAGAAAAGAAGGAAGGGGAGAGAGTATCAGAGAAAAAGAGAAGGGGATCTTTCTTTTTGACATCTGCCAACTCGGGGAATTGGATATAAATAAAAGTCATGATCCATTTGATTTCTTAATCTGCCATTTAAAGTTAAATCATATTCTTCAGATCTGTTTCATTCTGTTATGCCTTCCCCTCTTTTCCTAATAAACACAACTGGAGCTTCAGAATTAAATGTGTGAAAGGGCGCCTGGGTGGCTCAGTTGGTTGAGCATCTGACTCTTGATTTCAGCCCAGGTTGTGGTCTCAGGGTCATGGGATCGAGCCTCATGTAGGGCTCCCTGACCACTGGGGAGTTTGCTTCTCTCCCTTTTCCTCTCCCTCTGCCCCTCCCTTTGCTCATGCTTGGGCATTCTCTGTCTTCGTCTCTGTCTCTCTCTCCCAAATAAATAGATAAATCTTTAAAAATACTGAAATCCTGAGATAGTGTCCAAGGTACCACATAATCTAATACATAGATTTCAGGAGAATTTTGTATTGTCAGTGAATTTTGCTTTTCTGCTCCAAAGATTGGGCATTGGAGCAGTTATTATTTTGTTTGAATATCAACAACTCCATGTGGGCTTAGCACCCACAGGTTGTCAGACGGGAAGTAAGTTAGAGACTTTGGTATTGCCTGTAACTTCAAGTCTTTATTCTTTATTCTATTGGTTTAAAGAAGGCATTTATTTTGTAAATAAATAATAATGTTTTAAAAATGCAGAATATAACTAGGTGTTATGAAGAGAACCTACAGACTTTAGAATCATATTGATCTGTGTTTAAATTCTGGCCCTGGCATTACTTGGGGTTGGTTTGAGCATGTCTCAAATTCTCTAACCCTCACTTTTCTACAAAAAAAGTACAAAAGATGTTTCCTCAGTGAGTTACTTTAAGGATTAAAAATAATGTATGTAAATTCCCTAGCACTTTGCCAGGCACACTAGTTCTTGGCCATTAGCATCCTAGACTTGAATAGTACTAGTTAGTAGTAATTACCTAGGAATCACTGCTTCTATTAAGTAATTGGAACTCTTTGAATTAAAAAAAAGATATCCTATAAACACAAAGAACTGACCACCATTAGTAATAAAATCTATACATATGGTCAATTGAAGCTTGGAGGAGAGTTAAGGAGGTTTAATTTTAAGAAGCTTACCCAAATAGACCTGTAAAGAAATCCACATTTCTTAATCCTAGATGTCCTAGTCTCTTGACAAATCCTGACCTTTGAATGCCCCAAAGTTAATTATATTAGTGGCCCTTAAAAATATATAATTTCTTGGGGCGCCTGGGTGGCTCAGTGTGTTAAAGCCTCTGCATTCGGCTCAGGTCATGATCCCAAGGTCCTGGGATCGAGCCCCGCATCGGGCTCTCTGCTCAGCAGGGAGCCTGCTTCCCTTCCTCTCTCTCTGCCTGCCTCTCTGCCTACTTGTGATCTCTGTCTGTCAAATAAATAAAATCTTTAAAAAAAAACTATATATATATATAATTTCTTACCGCTACCAAGTGATAAAGAGAGTGCCTTTCCTTGCCGTGCCACATATCCAGTGACGTTGACAGTGACTTGATAATACTCATTCCAAGATCTGCGGAAGACTCTTGGAGTGAGGGAGTACTTTAATCCAAATTTTCATGAAGGAAATTAAGGGAAAAAACTTAAGCGTATATTGTGTTTATCTCTGATCCTTTCAGGTATTATTAAGAATTTGTTTTCAGTTACTCTCGGAAAAGTAAAAAGAAAAAAAAAAAAAAAAGAATTGGGACCAGATCTAAAAAACTTAGCAAATAGTCATGCTCTCCCTTTATAGCAATTTTGTCCTGGGCTTCATCGAGTCTAGCTTCCTTCCTCCCTCCCATCTGTCTATCAAGAAATGCTAGTGTCTACACATCGGACTTTTTTCAAGGTTCTAGAGATCCTCTAGAAGCAAATTACAAGTTCCCTATCCTATGTTGTACTGTTAGGTTTAGCAGTAAACACCATGTGCCAAGGCAGTATATAGGGGTGAAAGGCCTAATTCATGTGTGGGGTATATCTGTGCATTTTACCTGACTTTACAGTTCCTCCTTCTAAAGGGACATTGCCTCTTGAATTTGGGTTTGGCTTTGTGCTTTTGATAAGAGAATGGAATTTGTGATTTATTTTTGGTAACAGAATGAACTAGAAGTGCCAGTGTGTCAGTTTTAAGCCTTAGCCTTAAAGAGAGTAGTATGTCTCTGCTTGCTCCCATGTACCCCTGGCATTTCATGGCTAAAACATGCCTTGGTTTATCTCTTAGTCCCAGGAGGACAATGAGAGATGCATAATCAAATTTAGCTGAAACCAGCAGAGGTACTCAGATGAGCCCAGCCCAGATCAGCCAACACCCGTCTGATGCACAGATACATGAGCTAAATAAATGTGCATTGTTATATGCTACTAAGGTCCTATGCTTAGTTGTAACTTAGCATGATTATGTCAGTGGTTAACGAATGTAATCAGTGGGAGTTAAGGAGATAATGTACAGGTCAGAAAGGTACTGTAGAAGGGAAGACCAGTTCTGGAGGTGGAGGTGGAGTCTGAAAAAATGTTTACATTCATATCCCAAGGGAGTTTGATGGGCCAAGATCCCAGTGGAGTTTGACAAATAGTGCATGTAATACAATTAATTTAAAGTGAGTTGCATTAACATTGCGCATGATAGGGCTTCTTTACAGGTTATTTTTATTGTATGATGACCTAAACCATATGTATATAAAGTAAAACAATAATCAAGAAGGAAAAAAAACCTGCTCTAACTAGCCCTGCCTTCAGGTAAGGTCTGGGAGGACTTTAGGGGAAGATTCTGTATTAGGCAAAGGATAAACTCCTAGGAGAATGTTGTGGTTGTCTATAATACTGATTTTCCTGAGCCTGTGGGCTTGCAATTTTTCTGTAGACCTTATGCTATCTCCCACAGACGAAGTAAACATCTAGATGTTTCTATATCTATACTGCCTCACCTCCCTGCCCACTGATTGGTGGGCACAGGCCCCAGAAGTGAGCAATACTATAATTGGTTCTCCAGGTATAAGGATTTTTGTAACTGCCTTGGGCTGCAAAACATGGTGACAATTTTCTATTTGCTTGGCTCTTTCTTCCACCGAGGAGAGTATGGCACACCCAAAAATGTGAGGGGCGATAGAAAGAGTTGTTGGATTCCTGTACCTTGAATCCTCATTCCCTTTCCTAATTGTTCAAAATAAATTCCAGATGTCAACTTTACTTGAAGGCTTTCATAATCCTTTTGTATGCAAAAATAAGCTTGCTTTTCTCTAAACTCCCCTTGCATTTTATTCACGTGCCTTTATAACATTTCGTACTTGCTATGTTGTGTCATGCTTTTCCTCCACTTACAGACTGTGGACTCCCAAAGACCATGCCTTATGTACTGGGTATCCTCCAGGACAGTGTTTCTATGTGTGCAATTAATATCG